TTCGCTTAGATTAGTGGGAATATACTCATTTGAAATAGGGGCTGATCCAAGGAAATCTTCCATATCATAAAAACAATCCCAAGTATAGCATGAGCCCCATCACTATGTGTCAGGGAAACGACAAAGGTTCTTAATGTCACTGTGCTACAGGTTTTTGTTTTTGTTTTTTTCTTTTGAACACAAAAGGGAAAAGAAAGCAAAACAATGTCTCTCAATTGATTATAAGTATAAATTGATGCAAATAGAGAAACAGATGTAAGAATTCTTTTGATATAGATAAGAGAGGCTATTTCTGATGGGAAATACAGGTGACACCACAGAATTAATGGATATCTTTAAAAGTCTAAAGGAAACTTGTAATATGTCAAAAACACATTATAGACTGTGCTTTTATTTTAGAAGCATTATCCAAGGCCATGACGCTCAACTGCTAACACCTTCTCCCTGGAAAATACAGAACAAGATTGAAAAGCTGATTGATGACTTTACAGATAATTGCAATTAAAATGATTGCTAAGTGAATAAATGATGGGTTTTGGAAGCATATGCCAACTAGTTATTGCTGTTACATAATGTAATGAATATTGGCATTTTGTTGGCATTTGGCACTTTGCAAATTTAGGCATAGTACTGTACTGAACATGGCCTAATTATCTTTAGTGTTAAAAACCTTGTGTCCTTGGGGCCGGCCCGGTGGCGCACTGGATAGTGCGCCGCTTGGGAAGCGCAGCCGCGCTCCTGCCGAGGGTTCGGATCCCACATACAGACCGGCTCCTGCTCACTGGCTGAGCGAGGCGTGGGAGCAACGCCGAGGTTTGCGATCCCATTGCTGGTCCCTGGTCCGGTACGGGGGCAACACTGAGGGTTGCGATCCGTTGCCGGACATGGAAAAAAAGACAAAAAGACAAAAAAAAAAATAAATAAATAAATAAAAATAAAAACCTTGTGTCCTTGAATAAAAATCATCACTACCTTTCCAATTAGTAAAACATTGAAGACAAAAGAGGATCCCTAAAATTGATGATAGGAAAATATGCTCTATGCAATGAAAAAAAAGCTTTTGGAGAAACAATGTCCAAAGAAGAAACATACATGCTTAACATTGCCCCCTGTACACCACTAGAAGTAAGCCATTTCAAACATTTTCCATGGTCTCTGGCCTTAGTTTTCACATGATATTAAAATAACTATTTCTTACCATTTGTATCATTATAATCACGCTCATAATGATGCAATTGTCATAGCCCATTTACCTGCAGTATGCTTCCTGGGGTAAAGGTGAATTTATCCTAGAATTCATGAACAGGGACCAAGACTAGGGCATGGTAAAAAAATTCAGTAATCAAGATAAATATATTTTAATACAATATTTATAAAAATCAAATGACTGCAAAAAAATCCATATTGAAATTTTAGATGGGATCTGAGATGATCGGGGTGAAGGTTTAGACAGTGAAGGAGTCATGCCAGGGCTGCCTTACGTTAGTCCCTGCCCTGCTAGGGAGAGGCAGTGATACATGCTGTCTTCCAGGGGTCACAAGTTAGATGGGCGTTTCCAGTGGCATACTCTTACTGGGAGACCTGTTCATTCCCAGTTTGCGTTTTTTTCCTGCAACCTATCTGTAGGGTCCTTGTTGACCAAATTACAGTGCAAAGTGATCCGGGGGCCACTGTACATGAAGCCATGTAAGTTCATCCAAAAGATATCTACCCAAGAAAGTTTTAACTTTGCAACTTTTTTGGTTAGAGCTAATTTTGAAAATATGAAAAAATGCTAAGTATTATGCAAATTTATACAAAGCAGTGACTTTCTTATAAAATAAAACACAACTTAGGGCACTTTACATGTAAGACAACATTTTGTGGAGAATAAAAGTGTTTATAACACGGCTTTTAAATAACTGAGCAATCAATAAGTATGCAATATATTTTTAAAAATTATATGAATGAGTCTATTTTGTGAAAATGAGACGTTAAAATCAATTAAAATTGATGTATTCTGAAAGCCTTCATTTAAAACACATGCATAAAACTTAATTTTTAGAAATTCAATTATTGTAATGTGCTCTCTAAAGATTGAATCGAAATAGTATCTTTTCTAAAATGTTCATTTGAATAATTATAAAGATTTTTGGAATATAGAAAATGGGAGGAAAATACATGAGGAAGGAAATAAAAATCACCCCAAATGTTATCATCTAAAAATAAAATATGAATATTTCACAAAATGTTTTTCTGTCATTTTTCTAATAGTGATATGTTCAAAGTAGCCTTAACTTAGTTTCTAAAATAGTAACAGAATGTTTGAGGACTGAGGCCACCTCTCTAATTGTGTGTTTATAATATTATACATTTTTTTTCTTATATTTGAAGTGTTTTACAGTGTTCTGATTACTTTCTATAAACCTTTCTATAGACCTATATCTTGTAGAGCACCCTTGTAGAGCCCTGTGAGAAAGCTGTCCAGCACAGGTGAGGAAATAAAAGCTCCAAGAAGCACCACCACACACTGCCTGGACACATTGCAAGGAAGCCTTTGCTCCCTACCCTAGATGCTTTCAAGATTCTTTCCTCTACAATGTACAAGATAGCCAATGTGTAACTCCACAAGAAATAAAATAACCCAGCCTTGCAAATCTGAAAGTATAATATTCCTTTGGGGGAATTATTATCAAAAAAGAAACACAAGATAATTTTTTAAATGAATTATTTATTACAATGACAGGAAGACCCTGGATACAAATATGTTTGCTAATGCAATTATTCCACTGGTTACCAAAGGCTAGGCATATGAAAGGACAATCACCTAATCAGGAGGAAGTCAGTTTTGAGTTTTTAGCTGTGGAACCTAGTGGTTAGAATCACCACATGGTCCATCCAATTAATTGTAGGGCAACTTACTATTTTAAGTCTCCTCACAACAGAAATTATTGAAACACATTGAACATAAATCCGTACAAATTTTTAAAATTATTTTTAAACAGAGTAGTAGATTTGTATCATAAACATACTTGTACATTGATATTAGGAAAGCATTATTTAGTTTATCTCTAAAACTCTCGTTTTTAGGAATTAAAAGTTTTGATAGTGATGGTGTTGGTCTCCAGAATTCATATTTAATATATTTAAATATATAGAGACTTCATATAAATTGAATGGTCATTTAATATAAATTTTTAATTTTAGCAAATCTAACATGAGATGCTGAAAAAATTTCAAAACTCTCATTCAGTAATGTCAGGGTTATGCAAGTTCTAATTTCCTATACCTAGTGATATCATAAAATATTTATCAGAATTCAGTATTAGTTTCCTTAGACCTAAAAAAAACTCTAAGTATGGCAACTATTCAAACCTATTGTTATTCTTCTTTGAAAAAGAGAGAAATACGATGTAGCTATAAAAATAGTTTATTTTTAATAAACATGTCAGAACTTGAGCATCCAAATAGGTTTTAACTATTAAGATAGCCCCTTTGAGAGGACATATAGTACTAATTTGATAGTGCCATCATTCAAAATGTTTTGGGAGTCCTTGTGATAGCCTTGAGAGCCAGTATACGGCATGCATGAAAATATATCCTGTTGCCTAATTTGCTACCTTCTTTTATTCTGAAACTTGTTTCAAGTGGCTTTTGGCTGCTTCCAAAGGGAGAGAAAGCATATATGTCAATTTTCAAAGGAGGACAATTTTTCATGATTATTCGTTTTAACAACATGTTATAGTTTCCAAAGCACAAGGTAATTTCAAGGAGTGGCATCATATTTTAGAAACCAAAGAAGGCACACTTTAATCTTCTTTAAAGGAGCCATACACATTTGATATCTGCATTCTGATATATTCATTCAGGTCGACCATTAATTACAAGCTTCTTAAGGGTAAAGACCATGCCATTTCACATTTATAGTTCTCTTCTCTAATCTCCCCCTCCCTGCCCACTACATCCCAGCATAGGACCTGAGGCTGGTGCTCAAAGAAATGTTTGTTGAATTGAAGTTCCTTGAACTTCCCTGTTAGATAGAGTTATATATCACATATTAAATAATTTATTTCCATTTTCCTATGGGTTAGGCTATATTTACATTAATATTATATGCACATTAATAATCTTTTTATGATTTTTCTATAAATGAAAGAATTGTACAATATAAATCACAGCTAATAAATCAGATAACTAAAGGCTTTAACAGATGAGCACTTTATGTCTATTTCTATGCATATTACTTTGCACATTTTAGTTTTAGAATTCCTGCTAGCCAAACTTCTTTCTGGGAAAATAACTACAAGAGTGTATTCTTAATAAGAATCAGTTGTGATGTGCTATAAGTAGATTCCCAATTCCTAGTTCACATCTACATGGTCGGCAAGAGCATCCTGTAGCTAAAGACATTAGCCTCAATGTCATTAGAAGTCCAGATTAACTAGGCCACACAAAGTTGGTCAATGTTTTACTGTATCACTTATTTGGGCTAATTGATGATTAGACGGAACTTGTTATTTACTGACAACATTTTATGCTTAGGGATGAGGTTTGTTGCAGTGATCAAATTAAAGCATCTACTAAAACAAAATATCCTAACCAAACAAATCAACTTTGGGAGAGCTTTAGATTAAATTCACTGAAACAACATTAAATTTAAAAGTAAGTGTGTTATACTGGTCTTCATGTTACTTCTTATATACTTCAGACTGAAAAAATGGAAGAAAATCTAAAGCACTGTTAATTTTGTATTGGTGGTCTAGCACCCTTGCTGGAAATAATAACAGAAAAGTAAGAAGAAATATAGGATGATTCAGACAAGTATTTTCTAAACTTAAATGAATTGGGGTATTTTCAATCAGTAATTACACTTTCAACACACTCTGAATAAAGTATTGGCAAATCCACTATAGCCTAATAACTTGACCAATAACAACATCACTTTTATACAATGATAAACAAATGGCATGTTTTAAGTTTCTTAATTTGTCCAAATCCAGTTCCTATGGATGAGATTCCATTTAGCACATCTTGCAGGGACACACCTTTGCTATCCATGAATTATGCCTTGGCTTACCTAGAAAGAAAACAGATATCTTGGGTTATCTGGTGAAATATGGAAAGAGGAAAGAAGAAATAGAAGGAGGAGGGGAGGGAGAGATGGAAGGAGGGAGAGAAGGAGGGAAGAAAAGGAAAAAAAAATTGCCTATCATTTCTATACTTCTTTTCTATCCTGAAATAAAATATGTTAATATAATAAAAGTATTCCTATCTTATAAGCCAGGTAAATACATTTTAATTGCACACATTCGTAATAGGCTGTTTTTTTTAATTGCCCAGGATGATGAAACTTTCAATAAGATGAGTTTGATTTAAAATTAGTAAACTTCCATTTATTTTGAGCAGCTTAATTGTTCTTGGAGAAACCTACAACCGCAGTGTTAAGGTCAAATCTTATAAATTTTAGGTGAAATATGGTTTGAGGTATAGAACTGAAACAGCATTTATTTCTCAGACTACTTAAATGGTTGTCTTTGTAGGCTAAAAAATCACTTTATTTAAATTAATTTGTCTATCAAATTAACTGGAGCATTGTGCCTTAATTAATTATTTTTTAAAATATTCATATTAACGACGTGACCATGAATAGTAACTCCCAGTCCTGGCAAAAATCTGATTCTTTGGTTAGGTAAACCAATTTTGTATACTAAATGTGTGTGTATATATTAGTCTACAATTTTATATTCTTTCAAAAATCATGTTGATGTTTAAATTTTCTTTTTGGGTAAATTAATAAAGATATTGATACTGTTAAACATGACTAGAAGAAAGAGGTTATATTTTACTCCTGAATTGTTCTTACTTATTCTAGAACACTTTTTTTTTTTAGCACTAACCATAAGAAGTGCGTTCTTGATGGCTGTGATTGATGGGTTGCTCACACATTCCACATTTTTTCTGCTTCATGCATCATCATCAGCCATCTCCAACACTCCAGTCCTGAATCTGTCCTACTTTCTGCTACCTGATTTTTGCTGGTGATTCATGAGCCAGAATAGTAAAAGAAAAAAATAATCCACTCTGGCTTTTCACAATATAGTATCCCCTGCAAACTCTATGAGAAATCTAGTTTTGTTCGTAATATTCATGCAAATGTAATATTGATTGACAATGATGTATATAGATCTACACATATAACATGCTATGTAAAAACCACTAAAATCTTCTATTAATGGCAGAATGCATACTGATTATAAACTACTTCAGAATGAGGTGAAAACACTTATGGGAATGCATTTTTTCTAGACTTCCAGGCTCTCTCTTGCCTCTACTACTTTCAGCTGTAGCTACTTTTAAGTACACTGACTCTAGTGCACTAAGAAGAAAAATTCTTAATTTTCCAAGCCCATAAAGTGATAAAAGCTCAAGGTCTCTCATCAACACTTGCATAAAAGTTGTGAATATCACACTAAATTTTTTTTATCATCATGAGTGTAAAGATGAGGAACAAAGAATCCTTTTTTAAATATTATTCTGGAGAATGGGGATTGAACTTTAATCACTGTATAAGAAACAGTTAACAAGAAGTTAACCAAAAAAAGACTCAACTGAACTATTTTTGTGATAACATTTTTCAGATTCAGAAGCAACCAGGCCTTAAAGAGCCAAAGAAAGAAAGGCTAATGGCCCTAAAATCTCAAGAAAGGGAGCTGCAAGTTCATGATGTTGTCTCGATGCTTCTATTACGAGACATCAAAGTTATTCCCACAGGTTTCAGGAACATATAAATGCTAGTGAAGGAGCAAGCAGACTTCACGGAGTCTAAGGCAGAAACTTCAACCTGGGATTCACCTGTGAGTCAAAACTCTTTGCTAATGAATTATTCCAAAGAAAAGGCACGGCTGAGAGATACTTTCCCCTATCAGACAAGACCCCCAGGTTCACGAGCAGGGTCATAGTAACAGGAATGCTTTGGTCTAAAGGTGCTTTGTCAACCTTAATGGACTCCAGGCACTCACCTGGGTATACAGTTTGAACCAATAAAGTTATCACAATGGCATGATGAATAAGGTAGAGCGCTCCAGAGACCAGGTGAACAACCACTCCACAAGGCATCTAAATTGTGACCTATATGCAGACTGCAGCCCATTTACAAATGGATCATCCTAGTCAATTTAGTGCTGGAGAAGGAGTGATGTCAATGTAAAAAATAAATCTGCACACTGAGTTCAAAACCCACTGCATTCAAAGACAACTCACAAGGTTGATCTTACGATTTTATATAAGTTCTGAAAATGTGATTGTATTAGTGACATTTTAAATCACTCTAACAACATTTAGAATATGAACTTCATCTTTTTCCAAAACTTAGCTTTTCTGTGCTTCAATGTCCCTCTTGCTTTTTGCCTTAGAAAACAAGTTTGTATTAGCAATATGAAGCCATAAGAGCTAAAGTAAAATGATTTTTAGAGGATTTGCAAAGAAAAGACTTTATTTGGAAAGAACAATATATGAAGCAGTATTCTTGAACACTGCTTTGATGGGAAAATGATGTTTTGTTTTCATTTTCTGTATACTGCTCAAACAACTGTTCTATTCATTAAAAATGATGTAATAAATATATTAGTCATTTAGCATTGCATAGATAAAATCATGTAAGGTCAATACCCATTAAAGCTGGAAGACCGACCACATTCAACTTTGTAATGGGGGGATTTTGCATGTATGTGAAGATGTTAAAAGGAATTTTAAATGAGTGATAATAGTCCAGTTGAAAATGGTAAGAATGATGCATTCAGATTTAAATGCCCTCCTTTCCATGCAACAAATAAGGAATATACTAATGGAATTATAAGCTTAGCTACTGAAGTACCTCTACTGGTAGGAAGACTTCTTCCCAAATCTCACCACTTAAAACCCCCAAATTTTGTTTTTTCTTTTAACTAAGGAGCTTAATATTTTCCAGGGAAACATCCTTCATACATGGTAAACAGAACTAACTAAACCACCAGAGTAATGCTTATAGTTTTGGAGCCACCACATTTTGAACGACCTGATATTCTGAAGTTAATTTTTGGACATTGAAAAGTAGACAGGCATATTTTTGTAGTTCAAAGAAGTCCCTCTATGCCACCACATCCGCACATGAAATACAAAACTTATTTTCCTCCACATTCAGTTTTAAGGATTTTGCCAATGGAATGGTCGAACTTTAAGGAAATGCACTGTCTCATCAAAATCTTTCTTACTAAACGAGCACCTCTGTCAGAAGTGTCTTAATTTCTTATCACGAATTTTATTCACACAAGGAGCAATAAATAATTCATGTCGCTGCCTCTTTGTTGTGTGTCCCTGAACTGCGCAGAGCTGGAAGGCTGACAGCTGTGTCAGGACAAGCACCAAAGATCTGACATGACAAGTGACTAACAAGTTTCTTTCAGTTCATAGTGAAAGAAGACAATGGCCCAAAGTGCAGAAAGAAATCCTGAAACAAAATAAAACTGCTTCTTTCTTTTTACCTAAGTGTTTGCTATGAGCTTATTTCCAACCCACAAGCCCTGGTCATTTTATAGGACTGCCCAGCCCCCTACTCCTCACACTCGCTTGGCCATTTACTCCTGGCCACGGATCAATATGAGCAATTCTTGGAGAAATACGATGTCTCCATGACAACCAAGCCACAAATTCTCAGTGGAAGGCAGTGAGACCAGTAGTGAACTCTCCAGAGGTTTCTAGGCCTATAACGCAAGATGTCTTAAAATGCAGGAATGGACAGAGGAAAAAGCCAGAGTAATTCATTCTTTATTACTAGTTTAATGATGTCCAATGTACAGAACAGTACTCACTTTTTAAGTTAAGATTCTTTATCAGCACCTATATTTTCTAATTAATCTTTCTTTTTTGATATATCCTTTTGTTTGTATCAATCAGATAGAGTATGTTATATTTGAATCTCATTACAATTCCATGCATATTAAGGGATGGTGGACATTTATTCTACTTTTGAAATGGTATAAAGCTGATCTATTCTGGTCAAAAAACAATGGACACTTAGGTAAAAACTTGACTCGTGGATTTAAAACTTGACTCATGCCTGACAAAATGGTTGATAGAAAACAGTTTATTAAGACACTTTAAAAAACCTAGTCAGAATCTGGCAATTTTAGTCCAAATGAATAGTAATTTTTAAATAACATTTATTATATAAATTTAACTACCATTATCTTCTACTTTTTAGAGTGACATTAATCTACATTCTTTGTTTAGACATGGCAGGGGGTCGGGTTAATTTGCTCATTAAAAATTTCTGCCAGTGGCAAAGACACCATTTCCCAGTTGCATGGGATGCTAAAGCGGAAGGGTGGTTGAGAATGGGCACACAGCAGAGTTCATCTTTTGAGGAATCTTGGTGTAGTGGAGACGACTGATATCCATTGCCATCGCCACTGGGCCTACTGGGGTTCTGAGATGACTTAGGGGACCTGACATAGATTGCAGGCTGCACCTTTCACTGAAAATTAAATCTCAGTAGCTCTCCTCGGGGAAGGATCAGGGGACTGTTTGCAGCTGCCCCCTGTCAGCGAAGGCTACAAGATTTGGAAATCTCTTAACTAAGCTGACAGGCCACAGAGAGGATGAATCAAAAATATGATACTTGGATTAGCACACAAAGATGTGAGAGAGTGGAGGGTACACAACAGCCAGATAAAACAGGAAAAAAAAAATTAAGGGGACGGGGGAGATATTTAACTCTTGCACTCACAGTAATAAGGGACCTTCTGGTACCTTATGGCTCTGTAGTGATCCAGGAACGTCATTCAACTTTTACAAGATTTTTTTTCTTTTAATTAATTAGCTATTAAGACTAGGTATGCTTCAAAACAAGACAAAAACAGAAACAGAAATTCATTGTTTCTGGTCTGATCCTTCCAGTACATTTCTGTCTATTCTTTCAACAAAGGAAAAAATAACTTTGACATAGAGTAAATTTGATTTCCTGAGGAAGAGTTACCATTTTCTTTTCTTTTCTTTTCGTTCTAACAGTTGACAATATCCATTACTGTCATGCTAAAATACTCTCATCCCAGTTAAAGTTCTATTTGTATTTAGAAAGATAAATAGAATTGTAATGATGACAATTTGTATTTCTTTTCTCTCCATCTCTGCACTTCCACTTGACTCTTGTTAGATAACATTATTTGAAATATTTAAAATGTTACCATTTTTCTAGTTTTCAATCCCTGCCTCTATTAACTAGTTTAGCCTAAAATTGATGATAATGAACTAATAGCATCAGCTTCCCTTCTCAGTCATGAAGCCTTTGTACTTCCTCCAACTGAATTCTTGATGAAAGAAGAAAAGATAACGGCTCCACACTGTGACCCCTGGAGGTGACCATTAATTTGACAGTGCAGCTGCTAAGAGAAAACAGAATTACAATGTCCTCTCCCCCAACTCCCTTGCAAGGACCCCAAAGCTGTGTCAAATTTATCATTTTATACTCGACTATTTTTAAATGGCTTTCACCTGGACTCCCAGACTCTTCCAAGACACATCTGTCAGGCATGTCCTCAGCATCTTGGAAGTTTGCCGGGTTTGAGTTGCTGTCATGCTTGACCGGACTGACTGGAGCTATGAGACAGAGAGAGAAAGAGAGAGAGAGCAATGAAAAAGTAGTAGCAAACACCATTAATACATTTCCTTTCAGTTCCTCAGATATTTCCAGGGACACACTATGCAAACAAAAATAATAAATTGAAATAAAATGTATCCTCTAAGTATTTATTGGCAGACATGTAATTAGTTGAAAAATCTATAGATGTGACTTTATCTTAGAAGAAAAATAAGTTCACGGCATCAGCTTAAAAGCCACAAAGTAACAAAGTGATCTCTTTGAAGTAGAAATCGTATTTTTAATGCATAAATCTAAAACAATATAGTCAATTAACAGCAACAGGACACAGAGAGAAGAACATCAGGCTAGTCAATTAGAAAGACCAGCTCTATACTGGTGGCAGTGGCTCCTTTTGTCACGCAAATCACAGCTAATAAACACTTGGTATGCATTTTGGTTCTCTTTCATTAAATTAAAAACTATGGTACCAACACCCCCCCAAAAGTCCTATACACAGTAAATTAAAAAATATAGAATAAATACACTGAAAATAATAATAAGGAGGCCTGGTGTTTTGAATGGTAGGTCTTCAGACAACTTGTCGTGAGATATTTTTTCCTTCCCCCAAAAGTCCTATACACAGTAAATTAAAAAATATAGAATAAATACACTGAAAATAATAAGAAGGAGGCCTGGTGTTTTGAATGGTAGGTCTTCAGACAACTTGTCGTGAGATATTTTTTCCTACATAGGAATTACACCAGAAACAGAAGCTAGTACAGGAGTCTAAAGTTTCCTATAAACATATTACACCCACAGAAATAGACTCAAATATCGTTACTTTTTCACAAGTTGTAATACTTGGTCTAAATAATCTCCATAAGTAACACATTTTCGTATTATATTTGTTCTAGGATGCACTTGTTACAAAAAGGGGGTCTTGTCTTCATGAAGAAACTCAGTGAGCAAACAGAACAAAACAAGCCTCCAATAACGTAAATTACATCACACTTACCTGTCCATATACTATGGAATATAACTGAATTTTATCTATCCTAAGTCGCTGTAGTAGATACTACCACTATCTTTTCAGATCTTCATAACACGCACAACATATTTATAAGCCATAAATGCAATAAACAAAATATAAATTTATAAATCATAAATCATACTTGAAGTATGTTTGTTGGCACAGGGGAGTGGGCATGGCCTCTGTTTCTAAACCTCGATTAGGAGACAAGAGAGCAATGCAGAGGCTGGAGACTGTGCTACTTCACACATTCAATAAGTGACATGAAGGGGTCCCACCTGAGGTCCAAGCAGCATTAGTAGTGCTCACGCCTGCCACACTCCTCCATTTGTTTTCATGGAGTGTGCAGAGCATTGGTGATCGTAACCTCAAGACCATGTAGACACACTTTGAAGGAGATGGATAACATAATTCTGGTTCAAATATTTCTTCCAGACAGTTTCACCAGCCCTGCCAGGACACAGAGAGTACTCCTCTGTTCTGCAGAAGTGTGAGCATAGTTTGAATTTACTGCTTCTCAGAAACCTTTTGTTTGGTAACAAAATATGGGAAAAGTATGAAATTCTTACTATAAATAAATAAACCAAATTTTTTCATTTCGTACATTTGAATCTCCTAAAAAAGACAGGGAAGTAGGTGCCAGGTCTGTTTCATTCACACATTGCTGTGTTCCCCATATATAATAGTGTTTAGGTCATAGAAGGTACTCTCAAAAAATTTGTGAAATAAAAGAATGAACAAATGAATGAAGCAGAGGTGCCATGCTGGATGTCCTCCTGACCTAAGAGGATCTAAATATATGCTTTCAATGATCTTTCCGCTAGATCTGTTCAGTTTCTTGTTTAGGTCTGCTTGAGACCAAGGACNGCTTATTATGAGTAGAGTTCTGTGCTAGACTGTGAAGGGTAAAAAAATAAAAGCACTTTTAATGTGCCCTCATATAACTTGTGATCTAGTTGAAGTACGATGAAAACTAACAAGTAGGAGCATTAGAGATAATTCTAAAAGTACCATGGTTTTTAGAAGTGCAGAGAATTCTTATTCTACAATAGGGTGGTTTGGATGTAAAATTTGAGTTAAATCTCTACGAGCAAGAATGTGGGAAACCCAAAGCAACCTCTTTCAAGGCAAAAGAGAAAGGTTTGAACCCAGGCATGGGCAAAGAAGTCTAGGGTCACAAATGCATCTGTTAAAAGAATGTTGCTGCCTACTTTGCTATGTATTTTTAATGAATTCTCCTTCTATGTCTCTTTGAGCTTTTCCTGAATTGCTGCTGTTGGCTAATTCTTCTCACCTGTAGAAGTTAGCTATAGACAGGTTTCTCCTTGCCTTAGATAGTCAATAATTCGATCTTTACTGATGGTGGGCCCATTTATCACAGTAAGTTGTCCTTTCACTATACATATTGACTTTTATTTATCAATACCAAAGTCCATTTGTAGCTCATCACTAAAGTTCGTGGATATTTTCAGTAGTTTTTGAAGGTGCATTTTAGAACTTGGCAGAGAGATACTTTTGACATCGATATAGTGCAAATGGTTGCTAGGCTCATCTTTAGCTTAAAATCAACTGTTTATTTCCTTTGTAATGGATTCCNAATTTAGGTCATACTTAAAGATTATTTTTGAATCCATAGATTTTTGTGAAATGTTTAAGTGGGATAATTAAATGCACCAAAGTTGCAGAATACTATTGTATTGGTCAAGATTTCCTGAACTGTCTAAGTGATTTTTATCTCTATATATTTTATTTGTCATTTTTTGGAAATATTTCCATTGGTTTTTATAATAGGGAGTAAATCATTAGCTAATTCTATTACTAAAAGCCAACAAGGTAACACCTCTCTATATTGGGGAAAATGCATTGCACTTGTCATCCAATACACTATTCTTCTAAAATTTAAAACTTTCCTTCCTTCATTCATTTATTCATTCCTCCAACAAATATTTATCAAACACTAAATATTTAGAAGATGCTATTCAAAATCAGAGACCTCAAAGAGGAAGAAGATATGGTATCAGAACAAGAAAGTACATGCCTGCAACCATTTTTAGTGGTAATAAAGGGGTTCCAGGATGAACTAACATCTCAAACCTCTCAAGAAAACCAGAAAGTTAGGTACACTTTTAGTTGCACGATCTTCATTAAATTCACACTAGTGGGTACTATGCAGCTATTTTGCTTGCACCTCTGATGTTGGAGGTATGGTCTACGTGGGGGTGGAAGACTGGAGAGGGTTATTCTTCAGATATTTTGCCTAATTACACGTTGGCTTCCAGATTTGAAATGGTACAAGATTTTTCATTTTTACTGAGTGCTTCATAGAGCATCCAGTTAAATTTACTGTAGAAGAAAGGCCTGCATTCTACCAACTGGGAAGAGCACATGTTGGAGAGGTTAATTACTGCCATCCTGCTCTTTGTTTGATAGGCTAATTATTGCAACTGTTCTTTTGGGTGTTTTCAGTGATGTTTCATCATTAAACTCTGACATGATGTGAAACCAAGCCTTCTCTAATGTATCATTTCAAAAACGATGAAATCAACACATATTGATCTAGTGCTTATTATGAGTAGAGTTCTGTGCTAGACTGTGAAGGGTAAAAAAATAAAAGCACTTTTA